GCTCTGATGTGTTTCATCTATGTTTAGGATAGTGGGCCCCCCTGTACTAGTACCCCAGACTTAGGTCTGCGACTATATAAGGGGCACAGATCATGGAGAGAAGACCAACCTCTTCCTCCTTGTTTTCAAGAACCCATTCTTTGCACTAACCTGTTCCTAAGGAGATAACTCAATACTTCTGATCATCAGGATCAGTTGGGATCTGCACTCGCTCTCAGGGGTATTCAAGCTCGTGCGCTTGTTGAGAGTCAGGTTAGTGAACCTAGTAACCGGCAGGTGAACATGCAGTAGCTGCTCAGCGAGATATACAGTAAGACCAGGGTGAATGGGAGACAGACCTCAGTCTTATTCTCTTTCGTCCACCGCGACAGCTACTACAGGCCTAACAAGCCTAATACATCTATTCACATCACATAGCCTCGCTCGTCACCCAGCTCCGCCGCATACACAAGTGAGTATAAGCGTCAACTGAAGGGACTTGCTTGTCGATGGGCTCATCGTACAGACCACCTGGTCTTTTACTCAGAGTACCCTTTGAGGGACTGAGTTTTAGTTTGTCTATCTTTGTCTATGGCAATCCGTGACAGTCTGCTACACACCATTGCCTTTTAACTGTTTTCTTTGCCATAAAATAATGGCACTCTAAATACAGCTGCTTCTCAAACAACTATACCATTCTTGATCTCTGCCATAGAAACTGATATTTCAATATGAGTAACAATATGTTTCCCTCAATCAATGTGGTGAATATCATGATAAACTTATAAAGTTTATTATGAAGAATATCAGGACCTCAGAAATCATTCCTGCCAGAAATGGCCCTCTTACCCAAGTGAATGCATTGAATTTGCCAGAATTGCTAGGCTGTCTCATAACACTTAGGCATAGCCATGAATGGCTGCTATGCAACACGAGGTAGCAATTGACTTCTTCACATCTTGTCATCAGCAAAAAGGTCAGATGCTGATCTGGCCCTAACTGCACCCAATGTACCTTATCTGTTATTGACTACTGCACCTGCCAGTTGACTGACAGACAAGTCAGATCTGTAACCTCTGAGGGTCTGACTACCATTATCAGGCCAGGCCTGCCACCACCAGATAGCCAAGGATAGTCAATATTTCCATGTTGTCAGGTAATGTACAGACAGGCTGCCCATCTGCCAGATAGAATGCGGAAAATAGCTCATCTGTCAGTTGATGTCTGGGCAATGTGCCACATCCTCAAGTGAAAATATGGCCTTTCAGATAAATAATTGGCCAGAAAGACTGATGATTGATTGGCCAGCTTATGATAGACATCTTCAGAAATTCATTTTATCATTACTTTCATATTTTACAGCAACATCTGAATGGATTCTTGGAGAAATGAATGTCAATGATGTTGTTTCCTACTCTACGGTACTCAGATCAGTACTTATCATATGGTACTCAGGTTGTGACACAAACATGTGATCTACATTTGAAAGATGACACAGGTGAGTAGCTTGATCATGACAGTATCAGCATGGACTCACGTAGCTCTTTCAGCCCTTCAACATTTAACATTTAAAATGTAGGCACACTCCAGATGGTCAAGGTGGAGACACAGAAGCAGAGTGGCTGAGCGTGACTTGAGATGGTTTGTGTCTGCTCCTTCACATGCTATCAAGGTCCGTGAATCACTAAAAGAAGGGGGTAATGGGTAGAGCAGTCCAATGCACCTGACATCCATCTGTTCATGAGTGAGCAGCTGGTCACTGTAAGACAAGAAGAGACAGGTGATTCATGAAGCGTGTTTACACACAATGCATCATGTGAGCTGGTGCATAGGTCTTCGATGTTGATAGAGCATGCTGAGGTGATCAAACGAAAAGGAGGGCTCTGAAAAGGTAACTATGTGCACTGTAGTGCGATGTGTGATACAGAAACCTGCACTCACCTGCTATGCTCTTCCAATCAATGCATCCTCCTCCTGTGTTGCTGCTGATGCATTGCCATGCCTCACATCTGTACATGCATTCATCAATCATGGTGATGGAACAAGGGCATGGGTGACATATGAGGTAGGCCTGTGCAATTGACTCATCATGTTGGGCACAGGTAAGGCAGTGGTGACAAACATCATATGCCATGCTGGTGTAGTGTGCATGGGCAGCTGGTCACTGTAGAAGGATGAAAAGAGGAATAATGGGTACAGCACAGGCACACGATGTCTCATATAGGCTCATTCACATGACACCGAGGTCAGCAGACAGTATAGGGGTAGAACATGAGAGTAACATATTCTGAAATGTAAGCATATGCACCCTGGGGTAATGTGCAATACTGGGCAACTGCGACTCACCTGGGGCACCCATCCTAGAACCTCCATTTTGCCCATCCTTCTTCTGTGGTGTCACTGACAATGTGGCACCATTTCTCACATGCATTCACGTGCTTGTGAGCAGTGGTGATTGAGAAAGTGGGTGGCAGATGGAGTGGGTCTGCCTGAATGGCTCAACATGTTGAGTGCCATGAGGGCAGTGGTTGCAGGTGTAATGACAGGGCTGGCTCATGCTGATATGAGGCTGAGAGATGACAGGTGAGAGGTGAAAGAGAGAACAGGCATGAGACTCCCTGATCAGGGAGTAAAATGGGCAGCAAGAGGAGGACAAAAGTACATGTCCTGGAGCATCAGAAATGGCTCCGTTCACATGAAATTTTGACATGGACATAGCTGATGGGTATGACGAGAGGTCACAAGCAGTGCTGGGCAGATACAGTGAATGCATGATGAGAAAAATTAAAATGTGATACCAGTGAGGTGGGTGCTTATCAAGTGAGCAGAAAGAACAATGCATAGAAACATAACGGGATAGTGAAATTGCTTGAATTTTTGATATGATAGGAAGGATATGCATATCTACGGTCTTCAAAAAATGTGTACAGTGCCTGCTTAAGTTTTCAGACAATATTCTAGTCACAGTTACCAGTGTGCAAAACCCTACCTGATTGCGCAAGCTTTCATGCATGGTCCATTGCGTCAATTGACTGTGACCTAATTAAGAATCAATGAAGAGCTTCTGAATGAGGGTCTTTTAAGGAAGCTAGAAGGTTATCTCCAGAAGCTAAGTGGCGTGCACAGAGGGAGGCCAAATGTAACATTTGACCCAGTCTTTATAGATAGATTGCTGTTTTCACTCCATAAAGCAAGTCACAAGCGAGACAGATGGTTTAGCAACACAAAATGTGAACAAATGATTCATGCAGCATAAGAGAATGAGTACATGAGTGAGAGTGCATAGATGACAAAAGAAAAAGGAAGAACAGTTAAAGATAAATGGCCTGCTATAGGTGCAAACAATTGCTACAAGTGGGGTAGGAAAATACAACATGTTTCTGGCTGGGTCATCAAGAACATTTGCTAACTTGTACATATCAGTACAAGCATGCACTCATATTTGCTAACTCGTACAAGTTTGCAATTTAACTATATATGACTGAGTGCAACATTTAATAGTTGCATTAAAATATTGCATTTCAAAATAGCAGAAAAAGATTCAAATGTCTTCACCTAGTGTGGGTGATGAGCTGAGTTCTGAACTTGGACAGCTTGCTGACTTGTCTGATGGCTGTGTTCTATTGGTTGCTATAAGAAAAAGCATTACAGGACTGTTGCTCAGCATGACCAATGCATTGAATTTCATAATTGTTGTTGCATTCTGAACTGTCACATCATCAGCTATTCTCACCTGGTCCTACAAGCACACACATTGATGTCACAGTTTTTCATGCCACAAGTTCTTACATGACTTTTGCATCATGTGCAGTTTCACATCACATGATGTCAGACTACCTTATCTATGATTCAGATCTATAGATAACAAGATTAGACTAGTCTATTCCAGTAAAACAAGCACAGTGTCCAAAAGGAAACAAAAAAATGACTTAAAAGAGTTTGATCACATCGGTCCACTGGAGGTGGACCTGATGACAGTGGTATGTACAAAGATTAACAGTGCTGGACTACCATATCCGATGACAGGGGTGAAGACAGTGGGGGAGAAAATGAATGGAGGACAATACATAGCTAGAAGACCCTGGCGCATGGCAAAGATGAACACAAACTGACTAACTAAGTACCCCTCCCATTCAAACGTGGGCTCCAGTATGGGCTGCACCCTCAGGTCTCTAATCTCATAGTGTTTCAGTTCTATGACAGGTCAACTGCATGACTTCAAAGGGTGTTGACAGGGACTCAATTGATAAAGAAATTGACATGTCAATGATGGCCACAAAAGGTGAGCATATGGTGTAGTTGAAATTTTGGCCAGCCAAAAAGCTTGCTGGAGTGTCTACAGAGGAGGTTGTCTCTAATGGGGGGTAGAGTCAGGAAGAAAAGAAAGAAAAAAGACCAGTCAACTACATGACAACATCTGTGTCATCAGCTGAGTGGTCGAGGGTGGAGTCTGATAGGACGTGACTGAGGATTGCACTCGGGTCCTGAAAAGCAGCCCGTTTAGGACATGTGGTGAAATTGGCATGGTGGAGACCATGGCAGTTGATGCAGTAAGCATGGTCACAGGGGTCAGAGATGGTGCGATTCTCCTTCACACACAAGGTGCACTGAGCACGGTGCATAGATTCTTAGTGGTGGCCTGCACACCTGCAGCACCAGGTCAGTTTCATGCATTCAATAGCGAGATGGCTGAATGCCCAGCACCTCATACACTGATGGAGGCATGGTTTATTGTGCCAGTGTGCACTTGTAACAGGTGTGCCAAAAGTGAAGAGGGGAGTCCTGAGAATGGTGGTGAGAACAGAGCCATCTGGATCCTCGAAGCCGAGTACCACAGACAAGCAGGCACCATTGACCTGCTCAGGTTGATTTGCCCAATGCAGAGGTTAGGTGATGGAGAGGCAGGCAAGTGCTGGGTTCTTGATGAGTCCTTCAAGAAGAGCTGCAGGGAAATGGATGTCACTGCTGGGGGACACCCAAGTGTGCACATTGTCGAGTAGAAGATGAGACCACTTGACATCATGGGAGACGGGGTGGTCAGGCTCGAGTTGGAGGGCAGTGCAGATGGTCAGCAGGTGGTCATTGATGCATCAGGAGTAGGTATTGGACAGGAAGGCCAAGATGAAGTTGCCAGCAGAGCTGGGGTAGACCACAAGAGCAGTAAGCCCACCAGCAGTAGGAACAACTGCCAGCGCAGTATTCACATCATTGACCAGCTTAGAGGGAAGCCAGATATAAAGTGTGCAGGCACAGGGCCTGCAAACTGAACCATGTATCAGATGGGTTCCTGTACATGTTTGGTACTAGGAGCCTTCAGGGGGGATGGAGGGTCAGGGCACTTGCAGTTGGAACTGGGTGCTTTGGAGTGGCTGCCACCATATATGAGCACCTCTTGGAGGGGGCACCACATATCAGAGGTGTGGGAGCAGAGGGAGTCTGCACAGTCAAAGGAGGGCTCATGGTTGCTAGGTGAGCTTCTAAGGCAGTGAACCTGATATCAAAGGCAGTGCACAGGTCCTGGAGCATGGCAGTAAAGCCAGCCTCAGAGGTCAGAGTAGTAGCATGAGGAGGATTAGCAGCAAGGGAATTAGAAGGAGTGTGGCAGTAGAGAGCAAGAGCATTGACCAGTCAAGCTCTAAGGAGGTTGTCGATGTAAACTGTGGATGAAGAGATGCTTGCCATCACCAAAATCTGCTAAATGCTCTCGTGAACACTGTAAGCAATATCCACCAAGGAGTCAAAGTCATTGGCCACATTAGACAAGCCTCGAGAATTTCATTGCCAGGTGGCTTTGTGGATGTGGAGTGTAGCAGTTGGGGTGTATGAGGTGAAAACTGGGGGTGGACTTGAAAGGGACCCAGAAGTGCCCAGAGATGGTGGTGGTTGCAGTTCGAGAGACATAGCAGATTGCGATGCACAAGAGAAAAAAGCAAAAAGTCATGAGGACCATAATGGGCACTTACTGACTGAGTTAAAAGGGCATCACGTAGAAATACAAATAAATTATGGAATAATGAGAATTTAATCACATGGGAGCTTGAGATATAGAGCAAGGGGGATCTAACAAAACTGAGAAGATAGAAGTAACTGATGGCCTCAGAGGGACCAATGTTGACCAAATCACCACCATGAGGAAACCTGTCCAATTGGGAAGCCTACAGCACCTGTTTCGCTCAACTGGGCATTGAGGCTTTTTTTGAACCTCTGAGATTAGAAGCGTGGCTTTCAGATGAGGGTATTTTGAAGAGCATAGCATAAGAATTGAATGTGCTACAGAGGTCTCTCTAAGCATTGCCATTGACCCTCAATGGCATCCGGTATATAGATAGGGCTGTGATGGCACATAGACCAAATGGAAGGTTGGCAGAATCACAGTGTTCAACTGTTGTGGTGTCTGGGCCAAGATTCACAGTGGCACATGAAAAAAACACTATTGTCGAAGTTCCTCTTCAGCTGAGGATAAGCCTCAAACAGCGGCTGGAGATGGTCGACATAGTAACCATAAAGCTTGGGGGCCCATGTGGCAAATGCACCTCAACTCACTGTTAGTACTTATAATTCAAACATTATACACAGAAAACTTACTTGAACCAAAATCTGCCATACGACAAAAATTCTTATCCTCAAACAGGTCTGAAAGGACCTCCTCATTTATGCCCTTGATGACTAGATTGCCAGGGCACTGTTACAAATGTTCATTTGACAGTTCACATAAATGCAGCTGAGCACTGACCTTCTGTCCTCCACTATGTGAGATGCCTTTCGAAAAGGCTGGATATCTACCTCGATGATGTACCTCTGAATTCCTAGAAATTTTCATCCATAAATGAGCATCTTTCATGGTGTCGGCGGCAGCCCTGTGAGTGTGATCTCATGTCTTGTCATTTGGAGAACTGCAGCAAACACCGATAATGCAGTTAGAAGAGTGCAATATGGGTCGCAATGTTCTGGAAAAATGTGAGCAATATATTGCATTGACAAATGCTGATGCTCACCATCCATCCCGTTGTATCAGCATAAATTTGTAAGGGGAGTTCTCACCTATCAAATCCTGGAGGGATAGAGCCTTCTGTTCTTGACCTTGTGCTCGAGCTCCAGTGTATGCCCCTTGCATGTGTGGCAGGTGTAGGACATTGAGAGAGGTCAGTATGGCTGTGGTGTGATGAATATGCTTCTTAACCATATTTCATGGCAATTCGTATGCACCATAAGGCTTCACGGCCTTTGCAGATTTGCACTGAGCAGTCCACTTTTGTTTCAATTTCTGTTTGTGCCGTTGAGCATCATAAATCCCTCTTTCAGCAGCTGGAGGGATCGGGTAGCTTCTGAGTAGTCCTGTAACAAACCCATCAAACTCCTGAGTAGAGAACCAACATACCACATTAATGCCATGCTGACTGGGCTCAGGGATGGGTGATGGTGGAATCAGATCCATCTCCTGCCCCACAGTATCCTCATCATCCAATTGCCCTTCTATGCAAATTGCCTGAAGGAGAAGCACCCTGAAATTGAAGTCAGAATGGGGCTGTGTGGAATAGCTACAAGCAGTCAAGAGACTTTAACTCAGTAACTCGAAGTCTCACACCAGTTATGATTACTGGGGCTGGATCTGACGTTCCAGGGATGAGTCGTCATTATACCACCCCAGCATAACCAAATGAGGGTGGGGTGAAATGTTTTCACTCACCTTGCATGGTGTCCATGTCCATTATCATCAAGACCAGCAGAACCAGACAGTGAGCACAACAGAATTAGCAGCACACCCATGTGATCAGCTAGAAAGTTTGATGGTGCTTGCCTGATCTAAAATGACATCTACTCCAACCTCTATGCTGGACAGGTTCATACTCATAATGTGAACTGCAGACAAGGCCATATGGATGGAGTTGTGAAAATAGATTCAAAAGTGAGAAGGCAAAGCAGCAGTGGATTTTCAGCAGCAAACAGCACTCCAGGTTAGTTAATTTGCAATGTATAGCTGGATCATGAAAGATATTGTTGGGTTCTCGATGCAAGCACATCTGCAATATAGAGATTCTCAGGCCATACTATCATAGGCCATAGATGTGTCACTCAAATGTGCTAGATGGCAATTGAAAATTGTATATGATTGTTTCCTTTTCCTATGACAGATGAGATGATCATTTCTGCTGTTAGCTAGCATATCAGACTATCAAAAGCTTGCCTACCAGGTTCAAACTATGCAATGCCATCTCCCTCAGCATGCTCATCTTCACCCTTCACTGCCTCCTCTCATGGAACCCAGCATGCTTATCACCTGGTGCCACTGAACTGGGTACTCAATCAAAGGTCTCATCCTGCACCTACATGGTTTCCTCACACACATCATGCAGGTCCTCAAACTCTGCCTCACCTTCCTTCTTCCTTTGCTCTCCATTTATGTATGGCTGCACCAGCATGATCTGACTGGCCAGGCTACATGGGTGGGCTGAGCTTCACTGTAGATGTTCCTCATCATAGTGCATGGTGCAGATGGGCCATGTCATGAAGGCATACTTTATTATGTTCATTTGTAGTGATCATGTTCTGTTTTGCAAGTGTGTTCATGATGGTCTATGCATTTGTGCCTGGTGCAGTGGTCAATGCTGTCATTTTGTGGCTGACTTACGCTGATCTTTCCTATTCTAGTGTTCTCTCACACAGATGGCTGGGCTAGCTCTGGCATTTGATTGGTCATGTGACAAGCTTCTCACTCTGCATGTGAGCCTAATGAGACCCTTGCACTCCATCACCTACACCATCCTTTTCCTTTCTGCTCATAATGATGTACAGATGGCTGATGACCATTATCCAGCTGCATCACCCCAGCTTGTACCTCATCTGTGTGAGAATATCGATGATGCATTTTGGCATCAACAATGAGGGAAAAGACAGTCAGTGGCACATGAGAAACCTGATCAGGTGCATGTGCAACATTGTAATCAGAGTGGTGGAGGCTGAGATATGGAGTATGAAGTTGAACATCATCAGGCTGCTGGAAACAAACTTACATGTGAGTGCATCATTCATCTTGGGGATATTGAGGGTTGATCTTGACTGTAGCCACTAGGCAGTCCTTACAGGCATAATTTACTGACTATTTATCCTGCTTTAGCCTCAAGTCTTTGGCTTTGCAAGTATGCTTATCAGCACCTGCTGCTTGTGATGTCACTATTGCACTTCACAGCTGTCATTGTCATTATACACATTACTACACACCACACATTTGCAGATTCTTAATCCTCCTTTCATTCTCTGATGCCATTAACATTCTATTATCTTACATGTCTTATCCAGCCCATGCACCCATCTTCATTGCAGGTTGCATACACCATACATGTGAGACTTCTATGGATGCATTCTCACAATTCTCATGACAAGAGCTGGGAGTTATGCAGCAGTGAGGATTTATGATAGAGGACCTGCCATTGAGCTTGCTCTGAAATATATTAGATAGACCCACCCTGGACAGTGATGGTATGATTGCAATGGAGTGACGATGGGATGTTCATAAACTGTTCTTGATGAGGAACTATATGATATTGGCTTGCGATTATGTGGATAGTATGTATCTCACATGCCCTAATGAACATCTTCTCTCATTAATTGCTCAGCATTGGTGATAGGTTGTCAGTATTCCTAATTCAACCTAGTACAATGTCTATTTATCTATGTTCATGCTCTATCAGCTTTATGTCAGATACAAGAAATGTTAATATATTTTGGTGAGGGCTTGGCCCTACCACTTACAATGACTATGAGTAGTTCTTCTCCCATCGCATTGATTGGTGAAAGAAACAACCCAAGATGGTTGATGGTTTATATCAGTAAGCCTGCTCAGTAGTCCACCCAGGATGCAGCACCTGGCCAGTGCACACTCTGCCTAGCCAGCACCATCTCATGAGTTGCTTAAGCCCTGCTTTTTTGAGATGCCAAATCAGGGTTGGTCAGATTATCTTAGTTGCTTTTAAGTAATGACCAAGTGCAGATCTAACACTATGTCATACCGATTTCACCAGCTTGTCAAATGATGGCTTTGTGATGAGAAGAAGTGAAAAATAGAATGTTTGTCCCAACTCTTTCTGTTAAGCCTAAATTAAAAACTCATCAGAACCTATACCAAAATATAAGCATATATATATACTGCAATTGCAGACACAGAAGCAGTCCCTGAGAGAAAGCAGTCAGCCTTATCTGAAGTTATCAAGCACATTCAAATGCACTGGCATGTCTGATTTCTTGCAGACACATAAGCTTATCTATGCACCATAAACACAGTGTATCTGCATCATTAACCTCTGCAAGGACTGTGTTCTGAAACATGAATGTGCATGGTGACACATGGTGTATCTCATGTGAAATCAGCACAAGAGGTGTCTTTGTCTGTACATTATAGATATGATAGCCAGCTGATGTGGATACTGTCAAGAAAGGCTTGTGGTTGGCCAAGAATGTAGGTCCACTAGGAATCGGCAATTAGCATAGTCCTTGCAGTACCATATATTATGACTCACAGAGGTGTAGTGATATTTGAAATTACTCCAATAATTGTTTGGATAAAATGTCTTATATACAGTTCAAGAATAATATGCTATGATCAAGGACTGTGCAGTGGGTGCTACTCACTATATTCCATATGTCCTGTATGCTACAATCAATGAAGGCATGCCTGGTGATGTGTTGCATCAATGCAAACTACATAGAAGTGCCACATCTTGCTTATCCAGCAAATTGTGAGGCAGTGCCAGATAATGATACAACCACCACATCTCTGGGCAGATATATGGAAACAAAAGCAGGCAAAGGATGATGGATCACATATGTTGATTGTCAAGCTTCCAAATGAAACATCCAGTCCTGTACCAGATGCCAGCCATTTACCGTCAGCACTAATGTTTACTCCCAATATGAGGAGATTGGTGGCTTGAAAACATTCAGCTGTGATAACATTCCATAAATGTTGTTATGATGCAATCTGAAGCCTGAAAAACATGACTTCAGGCTCACCTCAGGCTGGTTGAAATAAAATATTGCTATATAACCCTTCTCATATGTGCAGGCCAGCATTTGAGTAGAGCTCTGTATCCATCGAAAGGCCACCATCTGACTCAGACCTTTGAGGATGGTGAGAAGTGTTCTGCTTTGTGTTGCAAAAAATGTGCAAAAAAGGCAAATTCTTGTGCTCAGCAATGACTAAAATATGGCCATCATAACTCACACTGGGTGAAACAATCAATAATTTGAGGTGAAAGATGGTAAAGATATTGAAGAAAAAGTTCAAATCTTTTCAGCATCTTTACTGTCAATTTGTGATAAAAGAACTCAAAATATTATTAACATCTTTTCTTGTTAAAGATGATGAAAAGATTGGAAAAAGATTGGATGACATGTTAGCAATCATTTTTTCAATCATTTTTCAATCATTTAGATAAAGTTATGATAAAAAGTTTTAAAATCTTTTTCATTCTTTTCTTATCAAAGATAATGCACACATTGTGACCATGTCACATCATTATCATTCTACACTAAGCTAATATCAGAATATAAAGGTTAATACCCAGGTCCAAATGTTAGTACTGCCTCTTGAAGCCTTAGTACTAGCATAGTATTGATCTCTACATCTTAGCACTAGCATATGCTAGTAGTACTAACCTTCAGACTGTAGTACTAGCTTGGTACTAGCATAGTACTAGCATTTTAACTATAGTACTAGCATAATACTACTTTTTGAAGACTTAGTACTAATGTTTAGATCTTAGTGCTAACCTTTAGACTTAGTACTAACATTTGAACCTTAGTAGTAGCTTGATACTAGCATAGCACTATCATTTGGACCTTGATACTAGCATAGTACTAGCATAGTACTAGCATTGAGACCTTAGTACTAGCTTGGTACTAGCATAGTACTAGCATTCAGACCTTAGTACTAGCATTGAGACCTTAGTACTGGCTTGGTACTAGCATAGTACTAACCTTCAGACCTTAACCTGAGTATTAACTTCCATATCTCAGTACTGGCTTAGTATATAAAAGCAAGGGTGTGACATAGTCACAATATTTTCATCATCTTTGATCAAAAAGGGTGAAAAAAGATGTTAAACCTTTTCATCATAGTTTTGTATCAAAGATTGTCAAATGGTTGAAGAAATGATGTTAAACCTTTTCATCATAGTTTTGTATCAAAGATTGTCAAATGGTTGAAGAAATGATGTTTACTATCTCATCCAATCTCCTTTCAATCTTTTCATCATCTTTCATAACAAAAGATGTTAAAAATATTTTAAATACTTTTATCACAAATTGATAGTGAAGATGCTTAAAAGATTTGAACTTTTTCTTCAATATTTTGATTATCTTTCACCTCAAATTATTGATTGCTTCACCCAGTGTCAAGCTCATTTCACTGGGATGTGAATCACATGATTCATCTATGACTTTCTTTTTATTGAAATGGAGCATATCCAAAAACATTAGAGGGGGAAGTGGGGAGGGTTGATGCAGAATAAAGTGTAGAATAGTATGATTTCCATAGAGCTCAGATTTGGTAGGTGCCAAGGCTGCCTATTCTATGTGATCATGAACTTCATGATGAGCCAAATATTTCTGCAGAAGTTGGACTGTTGAAGAGAGATATTGAAGCACTGTTTCAGTTATAACATTTTTCCTTCTTTCTTTGACAAATAATTACCTCTTGTCAATGGCATTAGAATCCAATGAGCCACATTCTGTTTGGATCTACATGTTGAAGTCTAGCGACTCAGCTCACTGTCAAGTTTGAATTTGCTAACTATCAAAAATCTAACCTGCAATTATGTTTTTGTTCAGATGTTTGCTTGCCTGCAGACTTCTTTTTCACTTGTAATTGAGAGGTTGTCTATCACTGATGGCCAGCCAGATTGTTCAATAATCTAGTTGCTCTTAGTTTTCTCATTTTCTCATTATACTGAGAGCCATCTCTGCCTAACAGGGACTCGTTTTCTATGACACTATTGTGGCAGACTGTCTCATTGTTTTGCAGAAGGATGACACCGCACCATATATTCCTGCTCTCACCCTTCCACTAACATTAGAGAGTGCCAGTGAGGTGAACTTCATTGACCAATTTCTCAGACAAGTCACATGCAATTGTCCTGCATTTAGGTTATGAGGCCCCCTAGGGCAGGCCAGGGCATGCCGGGCGCTCACCAGGATGGCCTTAAGCGCCTGTAGCTGCCCAGCCCAGCAGATGTGGCACCGGACACCACGTCCGCCACCTGTCCTCGCCCCGTGACACGCACGTCGATGGGCGCATCCTGGACGTGCATTATGCCCAACACGTGCACTTGAACGGCACCCGCACGTGCGATGATATCCCAAATACCTCATTTATGCTGCATTGCATCGCGTACATCCCAGACGCACACGTGCCTCATCCGCGGACTGCAAGTGTGGCCATGAACTTGAGCTGCTCTGAGCGATGAGCGCTGCACTGCCCGCTCTGTCGCGCAGCGCCGTGCGGGGGGTGGACACCACAGGCATATGTCCTCAGCACACGCGCTTGCTGTCGGGTGTGAGGGGCACCCCGTGGGTGTACGTCCTGGACGCACGCGTTCCTCTCCTCGGACGTGGACACGTTTTCTCTCCTGCATTGACTTCTAGGCCGGTGCGTGATTTTTTTCACATTGTGATATCGTGGCAGATGTCAACTGATCCTTTGGTTGGTAGAATGCCATGCCCATGATTCATCAGGACTGGACTTGTTGGCATGATACCATGATGTGTCAGATCTCTCACCAGCGCCAGTCTATATTGATGCGATCGGACATCTGTCAAGCTGGCAAGCCGGCAAACTGGCAAAATTGCACTGCCAAGGTGCACCGATGCAGTTAGCGTAGGTGATGTGCATCGAGGCCTGCTCCACGTTTGACCTGTGGTTTTTGCATATAACCTGGAACCCAGTGTGCTCTGCCTGTCAGTCCCTCCCCCTCCCCCCAAACACCATGTCTAGCGCCAACTGTGCTCATGCAACTCGCTCACGCTCACACCGAGGAGCAGTGTCTGATGGGGCAGCTATCATCAGTCATTCATCAGCTCGACAGCCAGCCAGACTTGGAGGTGTATCGAACTCTCCATCCAGTTCTGTCTGGAGGAAACGTGCCAGTGACGTATTTCCGATTCCTGGGGCGAAACGCAGCAAGATTGGTCAAGCATCAGACAAGGCGACGGGGATGGCTGGCCAGTTTCAGAAAGCCTTCAATGACTTGCTTAAACATATAGAGGCTTGGAAAGAAGAAGAGGACCACCACCATGATGCCATCGAGATGGATGAGGTTGTGACCTGCTGGAAAACTGCAGTGGACACGGTGCTCATGCCAGCAAAGTTGCCACCAGAGCAGCTAATATTGCTCGATCTGCATCTCCCACTACCAGTCTGGTTGTCACCAATTCACAGTGAGTGCTGCTCCCCTCTGCGCTAATGAATCCAGCCTTGATCCATAAGCAGGAGGACTCCTGGAAGCTGCCAATGGAATCTGCATGGAATTCGCCACATCCGTCAAGCATGCGCAGAGCACTCTTCTTTCTCCATTTGATTTTGGCAAGCCCAGTGGCTGGGGGAAGGGCCAAGATGATGTCACTCATATTATGTGCCTCCGTCCAACCTTGAAGAACAGTGTTCCAGTGTGCGCGCTGCATGACGTTTTCCGCCAATTCATCATTGACGCTACCGGTTCCCTTCCTGAGGACTGCAGCACCACAGTCGATGCTGTGAAGTCGGCCCAGATGTTGTGCAGCATGATGGGCGAACATTTCAAGGATGAGGCGGCACGAACCAATCAATTCGACACTGGCGTTGAGTCGCTGTTCGAACGCCAGCGCTGGTCCCACAAGTACCAGTTCAATGCATCGTCAGACCTCCGTTACGGTGAGGTCGATTGCGTTTTCCTCGCAGATGGAAGCATACTGATCATCTTGTGTGAGGACAAGTGGGAGCCCAGACAAGGAGTTAGCGATGTCTACATGCAACTGGCGTGTGACTACGACCTTGCCGTGAAAGTCTTGGAGCAGAATGAACGGCATGATCCAAGGTGGACGAGTTTTTTAGCGCAGGGCTCACCGATGTTCCTCATCTCTGTGTTAGGTATGTCTTGTGGAGCATCCAGACATTCTACCATCTGACAATTGATGGACAGGAGCTCAGCTGTCTGTACTGGGGGGCTTCTATGATGGCAAACATGTCATCATGGAGCCATTACAGGATACCTATTACATGCTACATGATAGCAGGGGCATACGACAGGATAGGCTTGCGAAGGTGCTCTATGCACTGGCAAAAGGGCAATCTACACTAGAAAGGTGTGTCGAATGACGCCTTTAATGTTGAAATCAAACTGAAAAATTCTCTCCCCCCCAGGTTGAACCTGAACGAAATGCCACCGACATTTCCCTCCTCGACACCACGGATCTACGAGTCAGTCACGTTGTATGCGAAATCAGGAGCCTCCGCACCAGGCAAGCTCGCGTTCGAAGATCGTCTCTTGACAAGTAGCCAGCGGTGGCTGTTCCATGCCACCTTGTTGACCCCTTCCCGTCTGCGTTCTCCCACCCCAGTGGTGGTCAAGTTGATTGACAGATTGTATGGCGAACATGTTCATCAGCTCTTGGCTTGACACCATCTCGCCCCTACCCTTTATGGATGTGCACGTCGTGAAGGTGCTCCTACCGCCTACGTCATGGAGTACCTTGGATCGGACTGGGAGACGCTGTCCCAATTCTCTGAGAAGAAACTGCATGGCAGAGTTGCAGCTCCCACAGCTGCAGATCCTATCTGGACATCACTGAACCAACTGCTGGTGCTACTGGAGCAGCAGCAGTTTGTGCATGGTGACCTCAGGACGAACAACATCATGGTGCAGGTTAATCAAGATGGCAAGGCAGTCATACAGAAAGAAAAGAAGAAGGCATGCATCAAAGTGATCGACTTTGATTGGGCTGGAAATGCCGGGCAGGTGCGATATCCTCAGTCATGCAACAAGACTCTAACAGATATCACGTGGCCTGGGATGCCTGGTGGTCCAATTAACCCTGGTCACGATCACCGATTGGTGAAATCATGGTGGTCAAAGTGGAAACATTGATCAGTCCGGATATTTGTTTGCCCCATTGTCTTTCTTGTTCATGTCATCATCTATGGCTGTTTGCATTGTGGGACGGCGGTGACGCACATGGACAGTATGTAGTGGTCTCTGGACTGGGTGAAATTGGACATCATCACCCTTGCAATATGCTGGCTTTCCTTCACTTGTATTCACTTCATTTCTCTGCACTCCTATTGTGATTCCAATTCAGCAAATGCTCTAGCACAGGCAGCAACCTCAAGTTCACAAGTGCAGTCCTATCAAAGCCAGCTCCAATGTTGAAAAGGTGGTAGCAGCATGTTTCACATCTGCACTGATGTGTATTGACTTCGCTAGAGGCGGCAACTATGTACACTGCAAATGAAATGAGATCGAATGAGTAGCATCCACAAGTGGACAAGCATGTGCTACTCGAGCTGGAGGCACCGTGAGGCGCGATTTTGTCAAGTCCAAACGGACCACCATGTACAATACCGACTCGCACGCGTGACCGCCATTATTTTTGCAAACCGCTGTAACAGCTTATGAGCATTTGTGTCACTGCGAGTGATGCATCCTGGATGGTAGTATCCTTCATTTCCAGTATCATTGCACATCCGCGGTGCGTACGTCTCGGACGTATGCTCAGTGATGGAAAAAAATGCCCAGCTTATATGTGCAGGGAGGGGGCTGAACTTGAAGCGGCGCTCGGTGGCATTGGTCGCAGACTTGAAGGAAGCATTCCATCAGAAGCGGACGAAGTCGTCGCGTATCAGAAGGGCCTCATTACCGGGTGATCTAGAATTTTAAGAAGCAGCGCGTTGAATCGGCGGATGTTCAATTCGCGAAACTATTTGGAATGAGAAGCGGTCACCGATTAATTTCCTCGGGTCGTGCATATGTTGTGGACGCACGCACGTCACATGAATTGAAATTCACCCAACCAGATCCACTACGCAGCGCACACGCAGATGCGCACATCCTGGACGTACGCCACACTTCACGAACATTCTATGTGGTTCTTCTGCGCAGCTGCGTAGGAGCTGGTTGGGTGAATTTCAATTCATGCGATGTGCGTGCATCCACGACATACGCACGACCCGAGGAAATTAATCGGTGACCGCTTCTCATTCCAAATAGTTTCGCGAATTGAACATCCGCTGATCCAACGCGCTGCTTCTTAAAATTCTAGATCACCCAGTAATGAGGCCCTTCTGATACACGGTGACTTTGTCCGCTTCTGATGGAATGCTTCCTTCAAGTCCACGACCAATGCCACCGAGCGCCGCTCCAAGTTCAGCCCCCTTCCTGCACATAAAGCTGGGCATTTTCTCCCTCAGTTTTTATCCCCCCAAACCATCTTTCTGCATCCAAATGCCATCCAACACTACCGCACACACACTCCTCAACCTGTTTCTAGCCAAGCCTGAGGTGTGGCAGTGGCCAACATGGAGCGAGCTGACTGGGTCTACCGGCCTTCCGTGGGATGGGCATGACGGCGATTCGACGGTGAACATGAAGGCAGATGGTTCGAAGTGGACAGCAGAGGACGTCGTGAGCTGTCAGGCATTCATTGAGCAACTCAAGACTCTTCCCGCCAATGACAAGAGGAAGTTTCTGAACAAGCGCCACAAGGACCAGTACACGGCAGGCCGCGATGTCGTCGTGCCGTTCCTCCGGAAGATGTGGAAAGATTGGAAGATCACGCAAAAGGTCGAAGGCATCCTCGCCTTGCACGAAAGGAGCGTGGCCAACATCTTGCAGTCCTTTGAGACTCGCTCGGTAAGTTTCATTCAGCCGCACATGACGCCTGCTTGTTTCTGACCTCAGATCAGCTGCCAACGATCGAAAGGGCGCAGATCGCCTGTCACGCCTCAATCGCGGAGGCTCTCTTCAGCACGGACGTGTACAGGAACCGAGTGATGCTGCATGATGAATGTCACGACTTCATCCAGGACGCACTCGTCCACGTCTGGCAGTGCCGTCGCCAAGGCCTGACCCACGACGTGCCGCTGCTGGAGGCGAGGAAAAAAGTGTTCGACAACCTTTTCAAAAGTAAGTGGTATGTCATTTACTTGCAGTGCAAGCTGACCTGCTTCGTGTAGAATGCGAGGAGACCCTCCTCACGAAGGTGACGCTGAAGAAGATGTTCAGCGTTGCAGAACATCATGAAGACCTTGGAGAAGTACAGCGACAAGGATGCGATGGAGGAGCTGACCCAGAAGAGGGAGACCGTCAAGGACCTGCTGAACGTGGTCGACCCATCGCTGGGCATCGGCCAGAAGATGAGTAAGTACTGGGGCACTGCATGATGTGTGCAAAAAGCAAGCTAACACGTTAATCGTTAGAACTCCCCAAATTGCTCTGCCAGGCACTGTCTGACCTTGCTGGTGACGTGGAGCTCGAGATGCTCTCCCAGTCACTGCAGGCCATGTTGGAGCCTGGGGACGGCACCCTGGTCGAGGTGCTTGACTTCGAGTCTCTCGACATGAATTGGGACACAGGTGTCAAGGAGTTCCAGGAGATGAACGCAACGCAGCTTCATGAGCTGCTGGGTCTGCCCAAGGAGGGGCTGCCATTCTTCAATCGCAAGGAAGACCCCATGAATGCCCATGATCCATGGTCAGAGGAAGGCCAGGAGTGGCTCAAGACATCGAAGGATGCCGTCGCGTTCGGTCCTCACTGGCACCAGCTTGTGGGGATCGTGAAGATGACGCGACAGATGCTGGCGTCTCAGCCCATGTTCATTTTTGACGAGGTCGGTGTCGGCAAGACGATGCAGGCTGTGGGGCTTATCGCTCTGAGGGCATATTACATCCACCACTACCAAAAACACAGTCACTTGCCGGGCCAATGGGATCTGTCCTCGATCAGTGAAGGTGAGAACACGGGCAGATTGAAGGATGAGCCTGTCATGGTCGTCATGACGGTGAGCCTTCTGTCGCAACTCCTGGCAGAGTTGCGATGCTATCTGCAACATGACTGTTTCGATGTGCTACCATATACCGGCTCACACAAGACGCGCGCTCAATGGTGGGAATTGTACTACGTCAAGTCAAAGACCCAGAAGTGTCAGCAAATTATTGTCACCACCTATTCGGTACGTCTTGCATTGCTGTGATGGGGAGGACAATCTAATAGCATCTTTACAGGCAATTGCATCTGACTGCCAGGTGCTTTTCGAGCTGAAGACTCCGGACAAGCATCTGGGGTCACAGAAGAAGCACGGGTTTGAACAGCTAGTGGACCAGACCGTCTTCGGGAGGCATTTTGGCCTCATGATTTACGATGAAGCGGCATGCGCGTGCACGCTGTCAAAGCCGTATTTCACGTGCATGGAGCTGCGGAAGTGTAGCGACAGCGTGGTGGTGATGACAGCGATGCCGCTGCTCAGTCGTCCGGAGGTGAGTGCTCAATGAACATCTGGAGGTCAAAGCTGACAACCTGTCGCAGGATCTGTAGAACCTCAGAAGATGGGCGGGATTGTCGACGTTCGGCCCCGACTTCGAGACGGTCGTCAAGGAGTTCAAGGACGACCTGAATTCTGCACAGAGGGTGGACCGCGCCCAGAAGAAAAAAGACAACAAGGGCAAGTTGGTCGTGCAGCACGTCGCCAGGGGAAAACAGGTCGACGTCGGTGGCGAGGCATACGACAGCGTCGCGATCATCATGGAGGATGCACGAAAGCAGTTCGAGGGCACTGTGATGTGCCGCACTGTCGACTCGCGAGACTACGAGGGCAAACCGATCTCTGGGTTGGAGCCCTACGAACAACACATGGTGCTCTTGAAGCTCAGCCACGAGGAGCAGAACACGATCGACGAGCTCGCCGCTGAGATGAGCCAGGACGCTGGCAGAGCCTTGTCTCTCATGCACGGACGGGTAAGTTTCCTCTGCTCTTTCATTTCAGATGATGCGGGGATACACGCATCGTGGACGTACCTGACGTGCATGTGTGACGTCATCCTATTGAGGCTCGTGCCCTCGCGGTGTACGTCTCGGACGTACGGCCATGCAGGGCTGGCGTTGCCATGCGCTGGTCTGTGCACTACAGCTGGCACGTACCTCTGAGATGTACGCATGCACAAGCAGCACGTTCGCTCGATGCCGAATGCTGCCCCCGCACCTGAGCTGTACGTCGTCGACATACGCATGCCATCACGTGACATGCTAATATGATTGGTGAGAGTACTCACCGCTCTGTTCACAGAACTTCTACCTCACGATTCATCTCGCGCTGATGCACCGCTCCCTCTCCAACTCCAGCGGTCTCTCCATGGAGGTCCCCACGACCCTGGATGCATGGCAGGCAATCGAGTCGACGAAGATCAAGGCGCTCATCGCCATTCTGCAACATCATCTCGCTGAAGATCGCGCGATACCCCTCATCACTCGGGAGGTAGTCCCCACTGCTGGGGAGGAACCCCCCACCACTGCGGAGCAAAACCGGCTGGTTCCAATAGAGGACCCCCCATTCGAAGAGTACGACAGCGATCAGCCGGACAAGATCGTCGTTTTCGTCACCTTCCCTAGCAACTTGACCTTGCTCAGTCCGGTGAGTTTTTGGATCCGATTGAAATCTCATTGAGCACCTTACGCATTCGATGTTACAGGTCCTCAACATGTACGAGATCAAGCATGAAACCCACATGTCCAGGATGTCGATAGCAGCTCGCACGAAGGCCATCGAGGACTTCAAGAAGGCAGGGCGAGATGACCCGCGCATGCTCATTGTGTCCGCGGTCGGGATTGTGTGGCTTAACTTGGCATGCACGAATTATGTCATCATGATGGTGAGTACCCGCTGTCCGACCACGTTGCCACATGCTTCTTCTAACAGCACATGCCATAGGATACCCTGTGATCCACGCAGGAGGACGACCAGCTGATTGGTCGTGTCTGGCGGCAGCCGCAGCCGAAGCTTGTCCACATCTATCGGTTGATCACCCGAAACATGCCGGATGTGTTTCTGAACAACATCTCCTTCGACAAGGGCACAATGTTGCGGGTGTTCTATGGCGCATCGGTCCAATTGAGTAAGTGCGATGATACGTTCTCCGCGCTTTTGCATACTAACATGCTGAGTGCCTCAGAGAATGTGTTTGACATTGACCTCGACGCAGCTGATGGGACCGACGATGAGCATGACAGTGAAGAGGACGAAGAGCTGAAAGCCCCAGGTCAGAAGAGGAAGGACACGAAGACGGCCACGGCTCAGACGGCGGGTGCGGGCTCATCCAAGCGCCAGTGCAAGAAGAAGTCGAAGGCAGTTGTCTCCGAAGATGAGACGGGGACAGCGCACGCGATGACGATGGCTGGTCCATCTGCGTCCTCGGTCCTGGCAGCACCTGCATCCATGGCTACACTGTCCGCCTCCGGCCAATTGCCCACGGCAGCGCTCGTGTCCGAGCCTCCACCGTCGACCTCTGGTGCATCCCAAGAAATCAGCATCTCGTTGCACGCGATGAACCTGTCCAGAATGCAACAGGCGGTCCTGACTAACTCTCCGAGTACTCCAGTCTGGGCCGCGCAGGCGCTTATTGAGGAGGAGCAGAGGAGGTCACGCGACCACCCCGGAGGCCTCGTTCTACCCGACTCTCCGGCTCTTCTGGACGAGCTGCGAAACAGGATGCACCATGACACGAAGTGGATGCCACCTGAATTCTCAGATGGACAGCCCATTCATTCACCACCACCTTCAATCCCAGAGGATGACCCCACTGGGACGAGCTTTAACCCGAATGAGGAGAGGCGTCCGTCGTCTGAACTCACTAGTAAGTTAAAGTGGTTATTTTGAATGCGCCATTGACTGATCATCATCCAGGTGAGCCGTCCGATGATGAACAGCCTCCGCGTGATGATGAAATGGATGTCAACTCCGGTCCTGGTCCATCCGGCAAGGCAGGTCCGAGCCGTCCAACGTGTAAGCCACGTAAGAAGGTCGCCACATCTGCTGCGCTGGCTGCCAGGGCCCAGGAAGGACAGGTCCCCCCGGATTCATCAAAGCTGCCCAACAAAAAGAAAAGGGGCAAGGGTCCTCGTGGTGGTCGTCGTCGGTAGATAGCTTGTCACCGTCATGTCGCGCACGCTGTGCTGTTGTGTAAAATATCATCATGATCTGCTGCTCAAAGCATCGTGTGAGCCACGCATTGGATCAGCATAGATGTTTTCATCAAAAGTACGACCCACGCAAGCGTACGTCCTCGACGTACGTCTCTTTGCACACCTGCCTCGGGTGCGCGTGTGAGTCCGGTTGGTGTGCAATTCAGAGGCACGCATTCGATCTACCACCAATGCTGCAGTTCTGGTTTGTACATCTGAGATGCATGCGCAGATGCGCTACATCGGCGTCCGACCATCAGACAGGGAGCACATTGGCGTGTGCGTCTCAGACGTACAAACCAGAACTGCAGTGTTGGCGGTAGATCGAATGCGTGCCTCTGAATTGCACACCAACCGGACTCACACGTGCACCCGAGGCAGGTGTGCAAAGAGACGTACGTCGAGGACGTACACATTCACTGGTACAGATGTGCGCATTCAATCTCAAGTTCAAAATCTCCGAAAAATAAAATGCTTCTGTCACAGCATCACGAGCATGTGTTATTTTCAATCCCCACCACAATGTCCAAAATCATTTAACCGTGAATGATTTCAGATCATGTGCACCAAGTCAATGAGCCTGAGAACCATTCAATTGGGATAGGTGTTCGGCCAGCAGAGTGAAGCTCGAGAGATGAGCTGATGTATGAACTTCATTTCTGCGCTGTGAGGTGAGCTCCATCGTCCTCATGTGTCTTGGCAACTGAGCAGCTTGTGTTAAAAACATCCCGTCTCACTCTCTGCAGGACCCCACCCCCACCCAATCTCAAATCTCCTCGCTCAATCATCAAATATGGCCGATGCTCTCCACTTCTACCCTCGCACAGATGCTCCAGACGAGGATCTTCAGCCTTTATACCTGGATCTGCTCGAGTTCAATGCCATTGCGAAACGCTTGCTGCAAAGTGGCAGAGAGGATGCCATATATGATTTCGTTCACTTTGTGCTGGCAGGAAGAGTCAAGCGGGATGGTGAAGAATGTCGAGTTTTCTTAAACCCTCGCCTTTCTGCTCTTATTCCTGAACTGGCGGAAATGGGTGAAGTAGCCATGGAGGACACATGTCAGCTCACGCGAGACTACGATTCAGTTATCGGCATATCGAGAACCCTTCCCTACGATCGTCCCTTGGCAGTTTATCCTCTGCCTCCGTTCAAGGACGCTCTAACGAGCGACAATCACATGAAGTATTCAATCACACGGCATGATGTAAGTCTCGAGTCCTTCAATCACGAGTGGTGGTTTCTGACCTCGTCTGCAGATGACTCACAAGGTCCTGCTGAATCGCATTCCCAACATGGCCTTCGCGAAGGTCGACATTCGTGCCAAATGCAACATCTTCTTTCCCGCACTTTACGTCGAAGACCGTTCCACGTCACCCACCCTCACTCAAGCACAGCTCACCCACTTCTACGAAGACATCCTTCGACCAGTGATAGAGGAGATTGATCTGACTGCAATTTCTCATTGGCCTGTCAATTACAAGGCAGCCTTCACCCTCAGCCAGGATGTCCAGGGACAACTACACTTCTCTTCCACTGATGTGCCTGTCCACCTTCTCGACAACCTCAGAGATAACCTCCTCCGGCGTCTTGATGAAGACCGCAATTTCACCAGCACATTCTTTCTCCACAAACTGCGTGGCACAAAAGGGGCATTTTCCCACAATCTATATGATGACACAGACTGTCAACTGAGCCTCGATCAAACCCTCGACTACCTTCGGGCTGAGCAGACCAACAGCAGCCAGTGGTGGATCGACGTGGTGCTTGAAATACAGCAGAAGAATCATGTCGTGACGTGGTTGTCCGCAGCACATGAAGAGCTTACTCAATTTGCTCTCCCATCCACACCCCACGACGCTATCAGAAAGTTGATGAAGAGCGACTACCACATTGTTGACCGTGTCGCACAGCTCGATGACTGTGCAGGTGCTCGCATCTACACAGGAAGTAGAGGCAAGCAGGATGGAGTCCACTATATTCAGTTCTACACGACGGAAAAGAATGCCCACTATCAGCACCACCGTGGTGTATTTCGACGGCACGACCCGACCGACCTCCTTCCCCATCGCTTGACATGATTTCTTGAAGACATCGACAATATTTGCAACACCTTTATAGCATGCGCGGGAAGGGAGGAAGAAGATCCACAGGAAGGCTGTGCTCGATTCGAAGTGCGGGTGTCTTTAAGAAACGCATTGACAGCACTCAGAGACATCAGCTCTGACTTGGTCAGCACAAGCTGCATCAGCATCCCTGCAAGTGTGTGGTGGTGAGCTTGCCTGCCAACCTTCATTTAAAAAGTGATCTGACCATTATCCCATCAGGTCATTCAAGGCGTGGTGCATGGCTGCTCTCAAATATGTTTTTGAGGGATTCCAAAATGATCTCGGAGCTGCTCGCATCTGGAGGCCAAGCCTGACACTAGGAGTCGTGGCAATCTACATGTCCAATGCTCTTAGGTTTCGACCGAGCAGTAACCACGTGCAGGTGCCAATGGTAGTGGCTGCCTGCTTCCACACTCCTTCCGAAGATCGTCCACAACCGACGTCTGACGATGAAAGCTCTTCAGAGGATGGTCAGCCAAGGACACCGATAATGTACGATCAGGGGATATACTTCCTTGCCGACATCGTTGAAGACAATGGCATCTACCGTCTGAGGAACAAGCGCTCCCCTGATGCTCTGCAGCTTGCCCACGCATACCGAACTCCGACGTTTGTGGATCTACAGATTCTCTTCACCGGTCAGAGCGTGTGACCCATGGTCAGAAAAGCTTACCCAGATCAGCAGAACAATCGAAGGACTCACACCACATCAGTCACAGCTCTGCAGCCTCAGTATCAGCGCCACTGATTTGGTCTGGATGACCGTGGAATTCAGATGGATGACCTCGTTCAGATGACTGGACCCGATGCTCACGGAGATCCCCACGATCATCAATTTGAGGACAACACCTCCGATGAAGGGGACCGCGAAAATCTAGTAGATGCCACTCTATCAAAGATCTGGGCACAGTTTTTCCTCGACCTCGTGCAGACAGCTCTCAACCCCAAGGCTCGGTCTGAACCCTTCTACATGATGCTTACTCCCGAGGAGAGATGTGATTTCACTGAGGATCTCTTCAAGACAGTGGATCTGCCGTTCCGCACCATGCAGTGGGAAGCGGCTCACCCCGAGCAATGGAACCTCATATTCAATCGATTCTTCCCCCCCAAAGGCCACATAGCAACATCAAAGCAGCAGAACTACCCAAACATGAACTATTTCAAGGAGTGGCATCTGCTCATAAGTCGAGTTTCGGAGGAGGACAGCAGGAGGATCATAAGAGCAATCAGTCAAAAATTCAACAAGTTGGAATGGGTTCCCTATCTATATACCGGGTGCCGTTGACCCCCAACGGCAATGCTCAGAGGGACCTCCATAGCACATTCAATTCTTATGCTATGCTCTTCAAAATACCCTCATCGTAAAGCCACGCTTCGAATCTCAGAGGCCCCAAAGGGGCCCCAATGCCCAGTTGAGCGGAATGGGCGCTGTAGGCTTCCCAGTCGGGCGGGTTTCCTCACGGCGGTGGTTTGGTCAATATTGGTCTTTTTAAGACCCTCAGTTACTTCTATCATCTCATTTTTGTTGGGGCCCCCTCGGTCTACATCTCAAGCACCCACCTAATTAAATTCTCATTATTCCATAATTTATTTGTGTTTCTACGGGATGCCCTTTCAGCTCAGTCGGTAAGCGCCCGTTATGGTCCTGGCGACTTTTTGCTTTTTCCTCTCGTGCATCGCAATCCGCTCACTCGTCGTTGTTGGGGCCCCCTAGCTATTCATCTCAACGACCTACATGCGAAATTTCATGTCTTTTGGCACTGTTTTTAAGCCTCCATGAGGTGCCCTTTCCCCTCATGTGCATGGCGCCTCTGACTCCCCGATCGGGGAGTGTGCTCGCGTCGTCCTCCCCTCGTCTTCCTGTTCGCTTCTACCATCCTCCCCGCACCCAGCAAGACGAGTCCATCGCGTACAGCCGGCCACGCTCTCCTCGCCGTCAAGATATTCTTCCTAACGCATGCACGTCTGCAAGACAGGGCCACCGTCATCAGCGGTGCCGCAGCAGGAGGGCGAGTCGGAGGATGTCACGGAGCGCATAGGTGGGCGAGAGCGGACGTAGGCCAGGTGGAAAGGCTGCATTAGGTGAGTCCTCCTCGCTCTCGCCCTTCTACAGCATACCGGTGTGTGCGCTCATGTCCCTCACCACCATGGCGTGCAAAGACGCCGTGTCGTTCGTTCGCCGCTACCGCCTTCCCCGCACGCAACCAGATGGCTCCACCGCATACGGCCACGCTCTCCTCGCCGTCAGCGTAGCGTCACGAACGCGCGCCCGTCTGCACGTCATCGCCACCATCGTCAGTGGCGCCACAGGAGGAGGGCGAGGTGGGGATCTCACGGAGCGCGTAGGTGGGCGAGAGCGGACGTAGGGGGGGTCGTTTGCACACACCAGGTAAGTCGCCATCGGTCTGTATCGCGCGCCGCACCGCGGCGCATGCACTCACAGTTCCGTCGTCCTCCTCTCGGTTGACCACCCCAGCGAGTTCTACTGGCCTTGAAGACCCGCGCGCGAGCCCACGCAAGGCCACTCATGCCCGTCTAGGCCTCGAACGTCTTCGCATCCTTGTACAGCCATCCGGTGCGCATGCGCTCGCTTCCCTCACCACCACGGCGTGTCGTTCGTTCACCGCTACCACATTCCCCGCACCGAACGAGACGACTCCACCGCGTACGGCCACGGTATCATCGCCGTCAACGTAGCGTCGCGAATGCGCGCACGTCTGCACGCCATCGCCACCGTCGTCAGCGGCGTCTCAGGAGCGCGAGTCGTTCGTGATCAGGGAGCGCGTAGGTGGGCCAGAGCGAACGTAGGTGGGGTTGTTTGCACACGTCAGGTGAGTTGTGATCACTCTGTATCGCGCGTCGCTCGAGGGCGCATATACTGACCTTCCAGACAATCCCCCCTCGTTCGACCACCCCTGCACACGCTGCCGACCTCGACGACCCGCTCACAGGCCCACACTCCGCGGATCGCCCTCTATTGTCGGCTTACACAACGGCCAGCCGCCCGCTTACGCGTGCTTCAACACCATGGCGTGAAAAACCGTCTATTCTCCACCGACCCCACGCCCAACACGATGCGTCAATCGTGCAGGCCAGCCCCATCTGCCGTCCACTCTCTCATCCGATCACCATGGCTCACGAGCGCGCGAACGCATACAAGAGATGGCAACTCGGCGACGGCGACACTGCAGGAGACAGGCAGATGGAGTGGATACTGTGGGAGGGGTACCACAGGTGAGTCCCAATCGCTCTGTCGCACGTCGCCCGAGGGCGCATACACTCACCTTCCAGACATCTCCCCTCCCATTCTACCACCCCAGCGCCATCGGCTGACCTCGAAGACCCGCTCACGGGCCCGCGCTCCGTGGATCGCCC